GGTTTGGGATTTTGAAAGGTTGGATTAGACAGTTTTTTTTTTTTTTTTTCCCTTCTTTGCCCTTTGACTTAGGCATTCTTGAGACTTTCCTTTCCTCCTTCGAAGAGAACTGACCATCTGAACTGGGTCCCCTTCTCGTTTTTTCCCATCTTACGCACCATCCGTGAGAGAGCTCGATTTCGTTCTTGGACTACACTAATGACTGCTGAGAGCAATAGAAAAGAGGAGTTCCCCTCACCCCCCTTCCCCCAAGTCTCATTTCTGCAGTCCTCTTTTTAAAGATCCGTGGAATGGAGTTATTGGAAGGCTGGCGTTGAAGGGTAGAGATGAGTTAGAGGAAAACTATGATTTCATCTTTATTGGCCTTACTATAGAAAATCTAGTACATTTTTCTTTCCCTCTGTTGAATGTGGTAAGATTACACTTTCAATTAAATACTTGGCGACTTACATAAAAGACTATTTTTAGGTCACTGGATGATGTACATGAACAGCCTTTTCACCTGAATTGGAATTGCTTTGAGTAGTCTGTTTGGCGGCCTGGTGTTTTTTTTTGTTATTGTTGTTTGTTATTGTTTGTTTTTTTTTTGTTCCGCCACAGTGTCTCTTCTTTACCTCCCCTGCTAAATGAAGTGTGTAGTCAAGAGAACACATACTGCTCTCTGCAAAGTGGAAAAAAAATAAAAATAAAAACCCGAAAGCCCAAACTTGAATTATCCACAAGGGTAAAACTTTCCATGAGCAATCTTGGATACCCACTTCATGATGGCTTCTTTTGTAATCTCAAGAGCAGTTTAGATCTTTCAATTCACTGGCTACCCTAATTACTTTTCAAAGTGCTTGGCACGTCTTTGGTGGCTTTTTCAGTAAACTATAATTGCAGGTGAGGTACATTTCCTTGGCTTCCAAGATAGGAGTTAGTAGCCTTATCAGAGAGATTAACAGTTAACAGTGAAAGCAGAATTCATACCATTGCCAGTGATTTCTGGCAATGACCAGCTCACAAACTATGTGAAAAAACAAACATCCCCTCCATAGATGTCAGAGGGGAAGAAGAGAAAATACTTTATCATGTCTATTTTGGAGAGAGTAACATGACTATGTTATGTGGGAGAAATTTCTGTAAAGCTTTTTGATTTGCAGCCCTCCTTTCTTCCACCTTTTGTGTAGGGACGGACATTTATGATTGGCTGGTTTCCAGTGTTGTGAGAAGTGTTTTGGTGAGAGGAAAAGATAAGCTTATTCTGAGTTGTTAGGGTACTGACTATTCATTTTGTCTAGTAGCAGTGCAGAGAAACTTCTGCAGTAGTATTTGTACCCCATTAACATTCTGTCAGAATTCATTTTTAAGAGTCTGTCCTGAGGCCCATAAAGAAATAATGCCACTTTGTAACTGTTTCTGACAGTCACATTAAAAGGTTCGTTCCTGAAATGCATTATATGTGTATGCATATAAACATTTATCTTTGTACATTTATGGTAATGAAAATATTTAAGTCTGAGAGCTTAAAAACTTTTATTTGCTTATTTGCATACATGCCTTTTAACAGCTAACAGTGCCAACCATATTTGCCAAATAAGCATCAACCATAAATTCAGGCTTTGGCACATTTCATATAATAACTCTTCTAAATTGCTCCATGGTGAAGCATCATGAGATTAGCATTTGGTTCATGAGAGAGATTTGTTGTTGTTTTTAACTGTAATGATGTGCTGTTTAAGGGGAACAGGTGCTGGGCTCTAGCTGTTTGTGTTGTAACCTGCCAAGTCATACTCTTTTGTTGGATGGGTTGTTAAAGCAATTTAGGAATCAAACTGTGGCCCCTGGCACGCCAAGTGTGAGTTTGAGGCTCCATATCACTTTTGCAAATCCCCATTTTCACCGTAAGAACTTTATTTTCTTCTTTGTCTTTTACTGTGATTCCTATTCCCCATTCTTTCCATTATTAGAGCTTCTTCCCAGCTAGCTAGTTTTCCTTGGAGAGTTGTAATGTTCTAGTAACTTTCAGACCAAATTCACATTTGGACAAAACACAAGTATTTGAGTGTCTTTTAAAGTGTTAGGCATGGTGGTAGGACCTGAATATATGTAGAATGATCTTTTTTTTTTTTTTTGCCAGGAGCTTGTACTTTCTGAAGAGAGCTATCTGGTACCTGGTAATTACCATATGGTGTGTTATATGACAGGTGTGTGCACAGGTGCCTGTGAGGGAAGAAAGTACAGTGGAAGGCTTGTTGATTCAAGACTTGGATTCTTGGCTATGGGGGATGTTCTGGAATCTTAGTGAGTTACTCAAGCTAACCTTGAATAATATATGAATCAACTAAGTTCAAAAAGAAGAAACATTTTTTTATCCTAGTGCTGTTGTATTGAAAAATAAACCACAAACATGAGTCATGTATATAATTTGAAATTTCTAGTAGCTGTGTTTAAAAAAAAATAAAAATTGAGATTCGGGCTGGAGAGATGGCTCAGAGGTTAAAAGCACTGACTGCTCTTCTAGAGGTCCTGAGTTCAATTCCCAGCCACATGGTAATTCACAGCCATCCATTATGAGATCTGGTGTCCTCTTCTGGTGTGCAGATATACATGGAAGCAGAATGTTGTATACATAATAAATAAATAAAATCTTAAAAAAATTGAGATTCATAATATAAATTAATCCAGCATTTAAAAATAATGTAATTTCAACATATAATCCATATAAAGCAGTAATACTAAGACATTTAACATTCTCCTTTTCATACAAAGTCTTCAGAATGTGGTGGTATTTTTACACTTCAGCACATTTCAATTAAGACTAGCTCTGTTTCTATACATCAACAACACAGCTTTAGAACAGAGTCAAATGAAGTAAAATTACTGATTGCAAACCAAGCTTAGGAATTTTAACCTCTCTTTGAAGGCTGTGAAATTTTAGTTGAAAAAAACGAAAGGAGGGCTGGAGAGATGGTGCTTCTAAAGGACCTGGGTTCAATTCTGGGCACTAATTCAGTGGCTCACAAACATCTGTGGCTCTAGTTCCAGGCGATCTGACGCTCCCTTCTGGTGTCAGAGGACACCAGAAGCAAAACACCTACATACATAAACAAGAAACGAAAACAAAATACCTTACCACCACCTCCAGTAAACCATCCTGCAATACAACCAGAGCTAGCTTAGACCTATCATTTTGACAGAGAAATGAAGCTGGATTAGGAAGGGGCACAGCTAGAAGCAAGACCAGTTAAGAAGCTATTCCTGGTGAGGAATGGCATAGAGAGTAGCGGAGGTGTGGGTGTAGGAGAGATTTGTTAAGTGTTATCAGTAGAACAGGACAAATAGATTATAGAATAGAAAAAGATTGAATCCCTTGAGATGGTTTAGTGGGTAAAGGTACTTGCTGCCAACTTTCTTTCATCCCTGGGATGCACATGGTAGTAGAGAATCCACTGCTACAAATTAAATTATCCTCTATTGTCTAAATAAGTGCAGTGATAATGACTCTCATAAACAAACAAATGAATAAATAGACTGAAGATTAAGGATGATTCCTGTGTTTGTGTTAGGAGCTGCTAGGTAGATAGGACCAGTAGCTAAGTGGGAAAGTCCATCTTCTATAAGAGATAGACCAAGGATGAAAAAACACATACACACACACACACACACACACACACACACACACACACACACACAAAAAAAAAAAAAAAAAAAACAAAACAGAAAAACTGAAAGGGCTTGTCAGAAAGCTAAGAAAGGAGAATATTTCAAGGACTAAGAATTGTCAACCTGTGTTCTACCATGAAAATGGCAAGTAAGATAAGGTTTGATGTCTCTGAGACTAGGAGGTTAAGTTGTTTGAAAGTAATTTAGAGCAGTTAGCTACATTGTGATTCACCGAGGAGGTTGACACAGGATAGCTAATAGTTTAGCTAATTGAGGTTACAGTGTTTTTCCTTGACAGGGAACTCACTCTGGAGACCAG